GTGTAGTATTGGCATAACAATCCATATATAAATCAATGGAATAGATGAGAGCCCAGACATAAACTCACAGAAATTATGGTCAACTAACTTTCAACAAAGGTGACAAGACCATTCAATGAAGAAAAGAATAGTCTCTTCAACAAATGGTGTTGAGACAACTAGATAGCCACCTGCAAAACAATAAATTTGGACACTTACTTGATACCATATGCAAAAATGAACTCATGAGATTAAAGACCTAAATTTAAGAAATAAAACCAAAAACTCTTACAAAATATAGGTGTAAATCAACATGGATTCCGATTTAGTGATGGTTTCTTAGCTATGACACCAAAAGCACGAGACAAAAAGAAAAAAAAATAGGTTAACTGTATTTCATTAAAATGAAAACTTTTGTGCATCAAGAGACCATCAACTATAATTGAAAAATAAATTTTAAAAAGGGCACTTTAAAATGAGTGAAAAGACAACTCACAGAAGAGGAGAAAATATTAGCAAACCATTATATCTGCTAAGGGTCTAGTATCCCTATTATATAATGAATTCTTACAATTCAACAACATAAAGACAAACCATTTACAAAATAGCCAAAAGACTTGAATAGATACATTTCCAACGAAAATGTACAAATGGCTGACAAGTACATAAAAAGATGCTCAACATCATTAGTCATTAAGGAAATGAAATTCAAAAACTACTTTATGCCCACTAGGATAGCTATAATAGGAAAAACAGAAAAAAACAAGTGTTGATGGGGGTGTGGAAAATTTTAAATTCTTGTACATTGCTCTTGGGAATGTGAAATGGTGTAGCAACTATGGAAAAGTTTGGTGGTTCCTCAATAAGTAAAGCATAGTACTGCAATATAACCTAGCAATTCCACTCCTGTGTATAATACTACAAAGACATGAAAACAGGGAACTGAACAGATATTTGTATACAAATCGTCTTAACAGAACTACCAAAAGGAGGAAACAACCCAAATGTCCATCAACAGAATGAATAAAATGTGGTATACACACACACACACACACAAATTATTGAAGCATAAAATGAAGTACTGCAACATGCTACATCATGGAGGAAACTTGAAACATCAGTGCTAGGCAAGGGAAACCAGACACAAAAGGTCACATATTATATGATTCCATTGATATGAAATATCCAGACTAGGCAAACCATAGACACAGAAAGCAGATTAATGTTTTCTAGAGGCTGGGTAGCTACTGTGGAGTTAATGCTGAATGAGTAAAGGGTTTCCTTTTGGAATGATGAAAATATTCTGGAACTAGAGAATGGTGATGGTGAATGTACTAGTCACTGAATTGTACACGTTAAAATGGTAAAAATGGTAAATTTTACATTGTATTTTACAATAAGTTATTTTTAAAAGTTTTACAAAATTTTCTCACAAAAATTAGAGGATGTGAGAATCTGTTCTATTTAGTTTGTAAAACTATCAAATTTTAATGTGTCTCTATAGCACATTTTTATATTCTACATCAAAAAGGTTCTACAAGCCTTAGCCAGCTTTGCTCAGTGGACAGTGTCGGCCTGCGAACCAAAGGGTTTGATTCCGGTCAAGGGCATGTACCTTGGTTGCAGGCTCCTCCCTGACCCAGGCCCTGGTCAGGGCATGTGCAGGAGGCAACCAATAGATGTGTTTCTCTCACATCGATGTTTTTCTTTCCCTCTCTCTTCTACTCTTTAAAAATCAACGGAAAAATATCCTCGGGTAAGGATTAAAAAATATAGTTCTACAAAAAAAAGGTCAAATTAATTTTTTTACTATGCCAGACAAAAATTCTAAGGACTATCCTATATAATAAAGAGCTAATATGCCAGTGATGGCGAACCTTTTGAGCTCGGTGTGTCAGCATTTTGAAAAACCCTAACTTAACTCTGGTGCTGTGTCACATATAGAAGTTTTTTGATATTTGCAACCATAGTAAAACAAAGATTTATATTTTTGATATTTACTTTATATATTTAAATGCCATTTGACAAAGAAAAATCAACCAAAAAAATGAGTTTGTGTGTCACCTCTGACACGCGTGTCATGGGTTTGCCATCACTGTACTACATGATTGCATTTATGGTTAGGGGCAATCAGGCAGACAGAGGTGGTTAGAGGCAATCAAGCAGGCAAGCAGCGTTGTTAGGGGTGATCAGACAGGCAGGTGAGCGGTTAGGAGCCAATGGTCCTGGATTGCGAGAGGCAGTCAGACATCCCCTGAGGGGGTCCAGATTGGAGAGGGTGCAGGCTGGGCTGAGACGCCCCCCCATGAACAAATTCCGTGCACCGCACCGGGCCTCTAAATATAGAAATATATTATATGCTCAATAAAGAAATGCCTTTTTTTAATAGCAAGGAAAATAATTGAACAAAGTGCTAAATTTGAACCAAATGTTTCAAGGTGAACAAATCTCTTCATTGCTCAAATGAAATTTTTTTTGTAGGAAACAAAAATATTAATGGGGTATTAGTGTATTAGCATGGATACCATATAAAGCATAATTATTCAAATTCCTATTAGTAATGCTCCTTTCTTTTTAATGAACAATTTGTTTTGGCAATTTTCTGTAGATGTGAGAACAGAACATGTCCATAACACTCCTGTCATTCACAGCATTAAACAGAATGATTTTCAAAACAAAATAAAAACATCTACTGTAAAAAAAAAAAAACCTTATGAATGCTGAGATTTAAAAAAACTTGTGAAAATCTTCAGCAGCAGATGCCTAAATAGAATAAACTGATTTCCTGAACTGTACACACATATACAAGATAAGACTTTCCAGTATGGCAAGACACCATGTTGAGGCCTTTCAACAGACTCAGGAACTGGGTTCTAAAAGGCTTCTTAATTTCTGGTTTGGTAAAATTCTTCAGTAGAGTCTTACTGTGAGAGTATATGGCCTAGAACTCATAATGACAGAAAAGGTAGATCAAGAGCCATAACTAAAACAAAGTATTTAACCTTTTATCTTCCCCTCAAGGTAAATCTAGAGTAGTTTCATATTGACTTTATGCAATTATTTGACTTTGAGGATTTGAATGAAAGAATGTTTATACTTCTACTTGATTTTTCTAAAATGATATTTAAGAGTATCTAGCCACCTTGAGGATTCCTGGAAATTTTACTCACCCTTTACCATACCTCTTCCCTCTGTACATTCCTATGCTATTACCACTAAACCACCACAAAAATTAACTTTTAAAAAAAGTAACAGAATTGATGTGAATCCAGTCAAAGAAATCACTAGGAAGAGTTTAGGGTCTGCAGTTTTATGACTTTCTTTACAACATTTGAATTTTAAAGATCTTCTCTAGAAATTTTTTTTTAAATAAAACTTTTATTGGAGAAAAATAGAACCACCACGTACACAGGAAAAAGAACACAAAAATTCAACCGATACAGAACTGAAAAGTCACATTTACCCAATGTTTGTAATTACTTTTCAATTTCTTAAACAGTTCTACTCAATTTGTTTTTAATAGCCTTGCCAATTTTTCAAATGAACCAGCATCAAGTTTTCAAACATTAAGAGCCTCAGAAAAGGGACCAGCTTTCAAGATGATGAAGGTGGCACCAAGAGTCTCCTCCTAACAGGACCGATTCTATATAATTTCGTAAGAGTAACTACCAAGTCTCGTGGAACTATCTACATATCTCAGAGACCATCAGGGATGAGTTAGAACACTGATGTAGATGGTCCAATATGGAGAAAAGGCAAACAAAATAGTTGTATTTCCTGGTCAGATGACCTCATATAAGGAAACACCAGAAGAGCTGAGAATATAAGGGTAATGACTGTTCAAAAGAAAATTAGGAAGGCATTCAAAATACCACATATTGTTACACAACAGTGTGCACACTGACACAATTAGAGAGACACAGGCAACTGTGTTAAAATAACTGTTCACAGGTCTTTGAGAATTCAAGAAAATAATACCAGACACAAAAACCAAGTCTCTGGTTAGAACCTAGGTATTCTTCCTACCTAATGACTCCAAATAGTAAAGGAAATAAACTACTGCAAAAACAGTTCTAATTTTTAAAAATAAGAACAAAATTTTCTGCTTTTCCTTTGTGATCGATTAATTTCAAAACTTCAAGAAAAAACAAATACAAAAGAAAAAAACACCACTGGTGGTAAAGATAAGCCTTTTACTCACAAGATCCATTTGAAGAACAATACTTTTGCTCTATTCTGTATAATCTGAATAATCCTAGGATATTCCCCTGAAAAGTAGGTGCCTGGTCATTGTAAGGATTCTTCAAACAATTTTGAAAGGAACAAGATCAGCATGAAATAGAATTTGCAATTCCAAACTAGTGGATGTGTGGAGAAAATGAGAGGACCTTTACATCTAGGGCTATAGGAAGTTAGAATAAAAATGACAGTAAAGGCTTATTTACCAACAAAGAGTTAGGGTGCTTCCCCAAAAAAACTTTGGTAATAAAAAATAGGAATGCTAAATCCTAAAAAGCCTGTAACAATCTACAATTGGTCCAAGTTAAACACAAAACTGTTCAAGCAACATTAAAGTCTAAAGGAAGTTGAAAACTACCTGATGAATTTTCAGTTGTGTAAAAATTTACAAAATATGCGGGTTTTGGTCTCTTTTGCAATGTTCATATTGTATTCATTTTTAATATGAAGAAAGTTGGATTTTTCTCTCCTATTTTGTTCTTCTAGTACAAATGATCAGCAATTTTCTATTTCAGCTATTTTTATAAGTACCTGTTAATTAGCACAGTAAACTCAAGGCTAAGCCATATACACACATCTCACAGCCATAAATGGAACATTTGAGGATGTGTATATACAAGAGATTATATAAGCAACTGTCCCTCTACTTGAAAACTTGTTTCCAAATAAAATTTTCAAAGCATCCCTTTGAGTGTAACAGAACATTACTTAGTAAAATGGAGTTAGTTGTGGCAACTTATTTTTCTTTTCAAGGGAAATCACAAAACAGGTGAACAACCAAATCCAGGGTGGTTTTTCTATTTGATAAATACATCCAGAACTCTGTACAGTAAATAAAGTTTGCATGCAGTTTAAGTATCTTTAAATGACATATTAAGCAAATAAACCTTTGCTTCATAATTAACGGTGTATAAGAACCCCCCGTTTTTAATAGCCATAGGGACCTCTTCCCTATTTTCAAAGAGGAATCATAAAGACCAAGTACTTTCTTAAGAGTTTTCTGCACATCATACTAAATAACATGCAAAGAGTTTAACAACATTCTTCTTAAAGGTAAGTATTACTCTTTTAATGGGCATGTTAACCACTGAAAATGTCCACTCAACTATTTTCATTACACTGCTTCATTTGGTCATCGGTAGTATAAAAGAATTCAAACAATATAGGATCAACATGTTTATCGACTGGCTACAGCATGAAACACAAAATGCTCCAAGGCCAAACTTTTATGCAATGTAGTTGTACTGATTTGGGTTTTCTTTATCTCTTTCCATGTAGTCCCGGTCAATTAAGGATTCTATTCTCTTCTTTAGATCAGCAGGCTGTAAGAGAAAGCAAATTTTCAGTGCAAAGCTCATAGTTACTGGTTCAAGTCCATTTACCAACACTCCATTAAAAAAGGAACAGCCTGCCCTAACTGGTTTGGCTCAGTGGATAGAGCATCGGCCTGCGGACTGAAAGGTCCCAGGTTCGATTCCGGTCAAGGGCATGTACCTTGGTTGCGGACACATCCCCAGTAGGAGGTGTGCAGGAAGCAGCTGATCGATGTTTCTCTCTCATAGATGTTTCTAACTCTCTATCCCTTTCTCTTCCTCTCTGTAAAAAATCAGTAAAATATATTATATATAAAAAAAAAAGGTCAATGGTTCAATTCCTGGTCAGGGGACATACTCAGGTTGTGGTTTTAGTCCCTGGTAGGGGCGGTGTGCAGGAGACAGCCAATTGCTGTTTCTCTCTCTCCCTCTTCCTCCCTCCCCCCACTCTCCCTTCCTCCTTAAAATCAATTTTAAAATATTTTTTAAAAAACTTGTGTCCCTCCAAACAATGTTGAGGCTTTAATCTATGTTTGTAAGATTCATGTTTGAAAATATGTATTCTTTTATATATAACTAGAGGCCCAGTGCACGAAAATTTGTGCACTGGGTGGGGGTGGGGGGTGTCCCTCAGCCCAGCCTGAGGCCTCTTGCAGTCCAGAAGCCCTCAGGGGATGTCCGACTGATGGCTTACGCACGCAATCAGACATCCTTAGCACTGTGATGGAGGCGGGAGAGGCTCCCACCACTTCTGCTGCACTCGCCAGCTATTAGCCCAGCTTGTGGCTGAGCAGGGCTCCCCGTGGGAGTGCATTAACCACCAGGTAGCATCTCTGGCACCGCCCCCTCAATCACCCCTTCGCCACCACCGCCAGTCACTGCTGCCCCCCAATTGCCGTCCCCTCCCTCTGCCCATTGGCACCCACCTTGGCTGGCCTGATGGCCACTTGCTGGCCGCCCCCAACCGTTCTGCCATTGAGTCAATTTGCATATTACGCTTTTATTATATAGGACAAGCTCAATATGAAAACACAGAAGTACCTACCTTTACTGGAAATTTCAACTGGTTGTACACTTCTGAAACCAGGAGGTTGTGGCTAAGCGTCTTCCTCATCTTCATAATTCGAACAATTGCAGCATCAATTTGATACTGTCTGTCTTGAAATACTCTTTCTGTAGTGCTTGCTTGTTCCTCAACCTAACAAAAAAAGTTTCACTTAGGAATTGTATCTCAAGGTAAACTTGATTACTTACACTAATTATATATTTTAGGAACATGACACTGTTAATGCACTAAATATGCTGAATTATCTAAAGGACCTTTATAAATACAGAAAATGACAGGGAAAAAACACAACTTCTTTCTGTCCTAATTATATTGCCCTGTACCTATGAAGTAATGTCAATATTAGTTAATAAAAAATACAATCTTTGAGTTGTTTTCTTAGAAGTAGACACCAAATGATACTGAACTTGTCATTTTCTTTTATTCTGTCCTTGAAATCTCTAAATGTGTCACAAGGGGTTGTTGAGTAGATTTCTGTATGACATTAGCTTGACATTAGCTTCTCTGTAAAAATGATTGACTCTGACCTCTGACTCAAAGTATCGTACTAACAAGCTAAACTAACAGAGTCAAACTATTTCTTAATAATTTTTGTACCCTGCTGGTATAGCTCAGTGGTCGAGCATCAACCTATGAACCAGGAGGTCATGGTTCGATTCCTGGTCATGGCACATGCCTGGGTTGCAGGCTAGAGCGTGCAGGGGGCAGCCAATCAATGACTCTCTCTCATCATTAATGTTTCTATATATCTCCCTTTCCCTGCCTCTCTCTGAAAAATAATTAATTAAAAAAAACTTTGAAAATAATTTTTTGGCACTTACATCAAAAGAATAATTTGGGCTTTTTGCCAGCAATTTCTTTCTGATACATCATAAATGTTTAAAAAGGACACAGTCATCTTCTAAGTGAATATCATACCTTTGATGTGAAGGTGAATAAAAAACTGGAGCTTGCCTGAGATATTGACCTCTGTCCCACATTAAAACTTTTTCTGGTTTCAATTAATGCTATTGGTTCCTTAATAAAAGTCATACAAATTCAAAAGGCAAAAATCAACAAAATATTCACTGTTAATCACAGAAATACTAAATCACTCAGATTTTTCATCAAGCAAGTTGACAAAAATTTTAAAAAGAAAATACAATCTTTAGTGCGGTTGAGGGCACTGTTAAGTCAGGCAGTCATGCTGCCAGACAAGAATGTAAATTGGTACAGACTTTCAGAAACACAATATGACATAATGTATTAAGATTCTTCAAATGTTCATACTCGTCAACCCAAAAGATCTACTTCCATGAATTTATCATAAGAGGAGACTCAGAGAGATTTTTAGGTACAAAGAGGTTTCTTACAGTTTTATTTATAAATACTAATACTAAAAATTTCTTAGCCCTGTAAAAGAATATTGTATGGCCATCTGCCATTTTATCAAGATATTTATTTAATGGCATGGAAGAAGTCTAAAGATTTAATATTAAACACAAAAAGCAGGATATAAAACTGTTAAATATCAAGTCTGTGTGCACCTCCCTTGCCAAAAAAAACCCCCGCAAAATACTGAAATACATTGAGCTAAATAGAGATAGCCATAGAAAATATTAACACCAGTGGTAGTATTATAGCTATAAAATCTTCTTTATAAATTTTTATCATGAACACATATAATTCCAGTGCATTAGGATGAGGAGAATGTAAAAGAAATACCGTTTCTTTCATTTGGATTTGGTTGATCTTTATCCTGAAAAGTTTGTGTTTGAAATCATCATTACAAATGAACTTGTCACCATCTTCGATATCTTTGCCCTTCGGATTTTTTGCCAGGACTCTAGCTTTGCCACAGGCCAAAGACTGCAGTGTTCTCCTTAACTCGCCATCCTCTGAAGAAGAAATAGTGGCTTAGTCATTTATAATAGCTCATCAACAAGAATAGCTACATTCAACCTCAATGTAGCTTCCACCCCATCCCTCTATTAATATTGTTTCCTTTTTACTCCATGGTCACCAATGACTCCCTCTGTATTTCATCTAATGATTTTTTTTCCTGGTCATCCTCTAAAGAATTCAATTACCATTCCATGTGAATTAACTACCAAACCTTCAGAAATTTTATCTCACTTCTCTCCAGTCCCTTATTTGTTTATTTATTTATTTATTTATTTAATTGTTTTTTTTATAGAAAGGAAGGGAGAGGGATAGAGAGCAAGAAACACTGATGGGAGAGAAACATCGATCAGCTGCCTCCTACACATTACTGGGGATGTACCCACAACCAAGGTACATGCCCTTGACCAGAATCGAACCTGGGACCTTTCAGTCTGCAGGCCGATGCTCTATCCACTGAGCCAAACCGGTTAGGGCCAGTCCACATTTAAAGGACACCCCCACCTGGCTGTTTTTACTACCATCTACTCCAGTATGTTCAAAATTTTACTCATCTTCCCTCCCCATAAAACTGAGTCTTCTTTCCAACTGTTAGTCATGAATCTACCAACCTATTCGGGTGAGAAACCCTGCAATTATATTTCTTCTCCTTCATCCTCCACTTATCTAGTAAGTTGTTGCTTCCTTAGAAATGCCTCTTCTCCATTCTCATTGGCCTCATTCTAGTCTAAGCCCCAACATTTTATGACAGAATTACCTCACTAGTTACTGGACTGGAACCTCTTCATCTTTCAAGCTGCCCTACATAAGTCACTTCCATTATGTCACACACTTGAGACTACAATACATTTCACTTGCTAGATTTGTAAGTCTCTACCCATCTTACCCTAACTTTTTATCTCCCTACTAGTAGACCTGCGCATGAATCAGTGAGCCAGTAGCTCGCTGCGCCCTCCTGTAGCTCTCTGCCAGCTGCTCCGCCCTCCTCCCCATAGCTTGCTGCCCTGCTCCCTCCTGTAGCTCTCCACTGCCTGCTTGTATCTCACTGCCTCACCCTTCTGCTGATCTGTGATCCTGTCTTTACGTGGTCGGTCGTTACATAACCATTTGCATATTACATCTTTATTATATAGGATTCTGTGCTGCAGTTAAACTCTTCATGACTCCTGCTCACACTGTGCTCGTTGCTACCTCCGAAAGTCTTTTCTTACAATTATTTCCACTTGCAGCATATGCTTTCTCCCTAACTAAAGCTTGAAGGTCCAACTCAAGTCCCACCCCTTTCATAAAGGCTTTCCCAAATGTACCAGTCCAGACTAATCTCTTGCTTTGCCAAATTCCTAATACACTGAGAGTCAGCACCACAGACTGGTACTTGAAATTATTTCAAGTGTCATTTCCCCCTTACCCAGTGGTTACATTATGAGTGCCAAAGAGAGGGATTATTCCTTTATATCCCCCCAGAGTTCTTAACCTAGCAGAATGCACAGAGTGGACACTGAATAATGCTTGCTAATCAACTGATTCAACACAAACCTATTCCAGTAGCCTGCTTGATCTCTTCTAAACTGAACTCCTCTCCCTCATTAAACATCAGCAGCACCAGTGTTTGAAAAAGAGAGACTTGGAGTTCTTTTTTACCCTGTTAGAGAAACAGCAATGTTTAGCCATCATTTTTAAAATATATATATATAAAGCATTAATAAAATGACTACTCTCTTACAGGGAAAGCATTTGTTTTTCAATTATTGGACTTAGAACCATGGATTAACAGTATCCAGAAAAGCCAGTATGTTCAGTATTGGGCTTAAGTGTGGTCTTACCTAACATAGAAGGAAGTATTGGGTGACGTTTCTAAAGTCTTTTTTAAAGCCCCATAATTAAAACTAAACAACGAAGTAATGAAAACTAATAACTTAGCCTTCTTATTTGTCATTACAGATATTTATCATGAGTACCAAGAAATCACTATTTCAAATGCATTTTTGACTTTTTTGATTCAGGTAAGTCATGAAAAGCTGCAGGAACTCTATTCTCGAGCTCCCAGCAACAAGAAGTTTTCAGTCAAGAAGTGGCAGTG